TATATATATATATATATATGTATGTATGTATCTAACATATGTATGCATGTATATATGCATGTATATGTATGTATATATACATATATAGATCTATACAAATACATATACATGTGTGTGTGTAGGTGTGCGTGCATTGTGACCTGTTGGTAGAGCAACATCTCTGAAGTTCGTAAGTCCCCTTAGCTCACGGGTTCGAATCCTTCCGTGTGTACGGTGTAGTACTCGAATATTTAGCACACCTAGCGATGCTCGGGGCTCGTCTAATAGCCTTCGACCATTCTTTTTAATATATATATATATATATATACATGCATGCTTGCATACATACATCAACCACAAACCATGTCTTTTCGGAATCCAGTACCGGAGGAGGCCTAAAAAGGGGTATCTGATTCCCTACCATAGGAAGAACTATAGAGAAGAGATATCATTTGGAGGGTAGAGAGATTTCAAGATCAATGTTAATCTACTATAATTTGAGGGAGATATGAATCCAAAAGACTTTTTTGATTGACTGCAATCTATTGAACATATATTTGAGTATAAGGACGTGCCAGCGGATAAGAGAGGCAAGTTCATTTCTGAAGTTCCCTTATGGTCAATCTAAGTTTTCTCTGCTATTGGTTTGGCTTCTTCTTCAAGTGTAATTGTCAACTAGGTCTTCTCAATCTCTATGACCATGAATAAGCTATAATGGTAGGCCTCCACTAACTCATGTGGCTACAATAGTGGGAGTAACCCTGAGACTTCGGGGGTTTTCTAAGCGGTTCCATCCTATGGACTTCCATTAAGCGCGCTATTGGTTTGAAGATGAGCAAATGTGGGTTAGGGAGTAAGTGAACGGTTTTTGGTTGGAATTTTAAGGGAAGGGGATGAGCAGAAGCTTAATTTGACAACATATAGAAGTAATCTTTGAAAAGAAAAGCTGCTATTAAAAAATTTCAAATTAAAGCTTTAATTTGAGCAGAGAAGTCTAGGCTATGTAAAGGCTATTGAGTAATGATCATGTGACGTTACACGTTTAGTTAGAGATGCAGTTCATCTTGTATCTACGAGATTCTTTTAATTTCTTAAATAGGGCTCAAATGAGAAGAACCGGGGCTGGCATTGTGTTTACTATGAGAACATGAAGGAATTAACTCCATTTCTATTATTCACTTACACTTTTCCTATCATAAAAATACCTACTAGTTTTCTATTCCTAAGATATTTTTTAAACTATTATTTGATAACCACAACCCTATTCCACATTTGTCAAGGTTTTTTTCGTTATTCATTGAAGATTCACTTGAGATGCTTCTTCTGTGTTCAGTTTTTGTTTAATTTGGTCAACTGCCGTTTATTTGAGCCATAGCTCTGTCCTTTTCTTAATCATTTTCTAAATCCAAAGGCTTTATTGTCATATGTTTTTCTTGCATTGGGCAAACGGTGCTGATTCTTCCTCCTTATTTGCAGGTCTAACCCATTAACTGAGTTCACAATTCGTAAGTATAAGGTTTTTTCTTTGTTTTGTTTCAAAAGTAAGAGATTTTAGTTTTTGAGAGTTCTATGCATTACCATGTAATTACGTTTCGTAGGTTAAACACTCCTTAAGGATAGAAAAACTAAATAAATTACCACAATGCAAAACAAATCTTGTTGTTGTTGTAACATGATAGTTGAAATTCTTAAATTTATTTATTTTTAAATGTTTTAACTTAAATCAAGCAAGATTGTCCCTTGGCCATTGAAACAAAGGGCTATTGTATATTTCTTTCTTTTCTTATGCAAACATAAGCTGGGCTTGTTACTCCCTGTGTCAAGATGTCGCAGTACCATGGTCCTGTTAATTGGAATGTAAACGTGTTTACACTATTGCATGATCATCTTCTTATTTAAACTTATTCCTATAGACATTGGGCATCTTTTTTCCACTAGAAAAGCATGACATTTTAAGTATTATTCTTTTCTAGAAATTGCTTTTTTTCCTTAAAATTACATTAAACTTGTAAAGTTGTCCATGGTATGCCACATTTCTCTCATAAATGCATTGACGCTGTCCGTTCCTTACAAATTCAAATTTCATTTAGCTTAAATTTTCCATGGATTCTTTATAATCAAGTACATCAAGTATGTGAATTTTCATTCAAATATTATTTTAAATAAGAAATAGTGACCTAGATCATTCTAGCCTTAAAAAAAAGGTTGATTAGAAAAGATTACTTCATAACTTGGTAACAATGAGTTTTAAATTAAGAAAAGAGGACCAAGCCTTCTCTGTTTGCATATAGTACTGATAAAATTTAAAGTCAACCAATCATAAAATGAAGAAGTAATATTGCATGACATTTCAAATTTGATATCATAAAAAAAATTGTTTTTTTTTTCTAAAGGTTAGATCTTGGTATAGGGCACAATTTTTGTGAGGGTTATAAGCATGGAACAACATCTATTTACTTGTAATGAAAAATATATTTATTTTTAATGTAATTCTATTCATTAGATTTATCCATTTACAATCTCCTTTTGATCAATTCATCCACGATGACAAAAGGGTCTTCTGCTAAAAATGATCTTGTGGTGATTAAATATATTTGGCGTGTATGATGATTAAATCTTTAGTTCATATTCTGTCAACCATTTTTTTAAAATTTTGTCTTAGTTAATACCCTTTCAATAATGATAAGCAATTGGAGACAGAGGAGTTTATCTTTAGAGCTAAAAATTTATAACTTTATCTAATAGACTTATTATTCAGGGTAATTAAAATATCATTATTTTGAAGAGGATATGATCCAGCACCACAACTATTGATTTGGTAAGTATTAAGGAGAATGATGTTTAACAGGAATGTTGAATTTATCTTATGATATGTATGATGGAGTAATGATTGTTATCATCATTTATTTTGTAGAATTAGAATATTCATTATAGCACATTAATTATAATTATTATGCAAGTACCTTTTTTATTGGACATAGTGTTGTTTAAGAAATTGAAAGTGATGGATAACTCTTCCTATCTATTTATAGATGCTGGCTTTTGTAGGTGATCTCTTCTAAAGTGAAAAAGTACGTGAATGGTGGAAAATTGTAGAGGATAATTGGGTTTATGATTAATTAAAATATTAAAAAATTTGCAAGGATGATAACACTAGACGTCATTTGTATTGACTCGAGTTGTTTACACTCAGAAGAAGCTGCAAATAAGATGAATCTCAATTTTGAAAAAAATTGAATAAAGAATGTGTTCAAGTTGACAAGCTATTGACTATGACTTAGGCCATGATAACAATTTCATTTAATGTGGGAAACAAAAGTCATTTTCTGTTTTCTTTGGGATATGGATGCTTTCTTTGAATTAGAGCTTTAGAGCTGTAGTTGCAATTCAACCAATTCAATTGAACCATTAGCTAAGGTAAAATTATTATAGGATGATTGATGCCCTTGGCATGCTCAAGAAATCAAGAGTTGATGTAGCATGTTGAATTTATAAGCAACACAACTCATAACTTAAACTTAGGGAATTTCAACAAGGAGAACATGTACTCTAATAAGTTGAGCATATTGGCTATGTCGAGCGATTTTACAAGTTGATTCACTATTGGGATAGTCCATTCATTTTTACGGAAGTAAACAGTCTAAATGCCTAATATTTATAGATGAGCGGTCATATCAAGCTCCCACAAACTTATGCTAGAGCACCTCCAACTTGAGCTTGACTAATTAATGGAGCTCAAGTTTAATTCTACGAGTTGAATAGGTTTATGAGCGAGCTTATTTATTATGAAAGAAAAATGTTGAAGGCAATTCCAGGAGTTGTAGTAATAAAATGATAAAAAAATGAAAATTTGGCGGAGAAATAATGAGAAATCATGCTTTGACAACAAATAAAGGTAGTATTTTTAAATTTTTTAATTTTCTTTGGGTATAAACATTAAATTTTAGTATTTTGATGAGTTTTTTTGTATTAATACTTTTTAAAAGATCCGATGCAGATGCAACTCAATTTTGGTTCATTAACTCATTGAGCCTCACTAATGAGCCATTTGTTGAGCCGGGGTAAAGCTAGCTTATGAGTCGGTTTAGTTGGTTACAACTTTAGCTCCGACTTATCTATTTGTCTGTGAGTGAATATTGGAAGATGGCTTCAAATTAACCCATTCCCTTCATAAAAGCTGAAATTTTTGAATGATCTACTGCATTGTCAATTATAATGGTGCATGGGAGGAGCGTGATGAGTGAAATATTGCTTTGTATGAACTTGATGACTGTTGTACTGTTTTGTTAAATAGTTGTCTTGATCTTAATCCACACGGTGAAATAATTCATCAAACTCTACAAGAATCATCTTCTTTGCATGGTTGAGGCAAGAGGGTGTAATAGTTAAAAATGCCAAAAAGGTAATATTTTAATTTTTTTTTAAATTATGCCTTATTTTTTCTCACATCTCGAAAATCATTAAAGCTGTTTTCATAATTTTTTTTTTGTTTATTTTGATATATAGAAGTATATTAATTTGCAAATATACAAAAATTATTTAATTAGTTTCTATTTAAATAAGTTTTTAATGTTTTATTAAAATCATTGCAGCATGTTACTGTTGCTGCGGTTTTGCTGCAACTTACTGTAATGGTACTGTAGCACCAAAAATATATTTCAGAAAAAGAGGCATGTAGTGACTAGATTTAATTTAAGGAGCTGAGATTTAATAAGAATGAAGTTATTTTTATTATTTGTATATCATGTTTTGTATATCTATATACATATATATAGGTTTAAGCAGCCTATTCCTCTCATTCCTGATACTGTTCCCAGCTGAACTAGAGTGTTGCTGCTCTCGGGTAAGAGCTGCTGGGAGAAAATATTAGAAAGAAGAGAAGAAAAAGAAAACAAAAGGAGTAGAAAATGAGAAGAGTAGAAGGGAATGAAAGGGAAAAAGAAGAGAAGCTAGTTTTTGAGGTAATGATTCGATTTTTTCTTTTCTTTCCAACAAATTGGTTTGGTTGGGAAATTGTAGGCTGAAAGATTTTATGAGGGAAGAAAATTTTGAGGTAAAATATTATTTTATTCATTTTTTAATCTAATTGAATTAAAAAGTTGGAGTGTGATACAAATCGATCAATTTGTTTATTTTTAGTGGTTTATATGTAAGATCAAAGTTTCTTGGTAAGAGAAATTAGGAAATCTGCCTGAAAAGAATCTAAAAATCTTAGTGAGATTCTATTTTTAAAATAAGAATCAAACTATTAATAGGTTCAATGTATGCAACGGCCTATAACTATGTCAACTTAATACGCTTATGCATATAAAAATTTATTTATATAGTACATCTTTATTCTGTTTGTAAGATTTATCTCATATGTATATAATTATCTATTTATAATGAATTCATAATTTTTTAATAGCTATCAAACTTAAAGTAAATTGATAAGATATAATCATATAATGCATAATTGAGTATGAAATATTGAATATCACATGTTACACTATATTCTTGATGCATGCTTGTATAGTTTGTTGGTTAACAGATGCATATCCATTCTATGTGAGTGCTGATAAGATTAATGTAAAAGGTAAAAAAGATCAATGAAATGTTATATTATTTAATCACAGGTAGGTTTACAATGACGATGACCTGCGGAAGAGAAGACGAAAGTTTAGGCCAGATGAACCTTTGTCGAGAAATAAATGAATTCCCACTCTTGCTACCAACGTTAGGATGGTACAAAGGTTATCATAGGGCTGTTAATAATTGGAATGTTGGATTGACCAAATTTTACCAACGGTTATTATAACCAATGGACTAGGTGATGACTTGATGAATTAAATGTGCCATAGCATATACAAATATCATTTAATATTTCTAAAATAACGAGTATTAAAAATAAAAAGAAAATGAAAGTGAAATAAGTAAATTCATATTATAACCAATGGGCTAGGTTGACTTTGTAACACTTAGCAATCACCTCCATATTATGATGTGATCGCCATTCAGATTGATAGTAATAGTTGATGAAGTATGGCTGTCTAGGTTGGAAGACCTCAAATTCTTTTAAAGGTGCAAATCTACATCTACTGCTACCTTAGTAGTTGCCCATGTTCTGGTCTTGTTTCTACTACCACCAGCGCTGCCACCTTCAAACTATTTGTAAGGAGTTTCTTTATGCTGTGTGAATTGAGGATTATCGCAACTATGATGCTTCTCCAATCAAAGTACTGTTATGCTTGATTGGTTTAAATAATTAAGATATAATTATATTTGATGTAATCAAATTTTGTTTTATTTAAACATGACATGATTATATGTTATTTAGTTTTCATACAATTAAAGTTACCTACATTTGTTATCAACATTTGATGATAACAAATGTTTGATTTGATAATAATGTGATTATTTGATTTTACCTTATATTAGTAGATGAGATTTTTTTTAACCTTGTTTCTAATCATGCAAAAACTTGTATTCTATAGAAGGATATTATGTAACGAAGAACTATAGATGATATTATCAAACAAGGGGAATGATTGCATTAATCTCACCTCCCTTCCCTCGCCTCTCTACTTTCTCCTCTCTTTTCTTAATTCGGAGGATTACTTGACCCACTTTCGTTTTCTACCTGCTTTTGGTCTCTAAATTTCTCTCTTTAACCTCATAGCTTGAAGGAGTCTCAAAAACTTATTCAGCTGCATAATCCTTGCTAGCTTTTTAGTTGCCGCCATTCATAGAGTACTTGAAATAACTCCAGAGAAGAAGAAACTTCACGAGCTTTTGATAAAGACATAAAGCACTCTTGATGAAATAAAAGCTACCATCTCATTACTTGAAAGGCTCTTAACATAAACCTTAAGACTACTTTGAACTTAGAAAATGAAGCAAAAAATTCTAAGAAAAACTAAAAATGGAAAAATATGTTGATGGGCCTTCAGCATTCTAGTTTTTTTTTTTAAAGTTTAATAGATGCTAGATTGTTTAAAATTGCATTCCTCAAGTATTTCTATGGGTCTCATTAAATTGTGGTATGGTACCGAAAATAAATTGCTCGATCAAATGCAATTATGATGGTAATATCTGATTTGTTGAAAGTGTGTTATTGTTTCCTGGTGCACTTTCAATAGATGGTTATTCTCTCTAATTTGTTTATGAGCTAGATAGAAAAGAGTCTTGGACAATCCTTCAAATAGAAAAATAAATTAGGGGGATTTATATTCATTGTTACGAAACATTGGAGTTTGCATAGTTAACACCTAAATTTTACTGTTTACATACATAACACTTAAAATATCAAAATAAAATGAAAAATAACACTTTCCATTACAATACCATCACCCTTTTGACCTTTGCTGTTAGTGTCGTCGCCCTTCACATGCTACCGATCTCCAAAGCCTTCTGCACTGAACACATTGTTAGTATTTCCACATCCTACACTTCCGAATATCTCATCGTGGCCCTCCACATTTGCCCCAAATCCCTTCGATCTCTCCCAAATCTTGTTCAGGTCATTGTTGGCAGAACTCCAACATGACTTGTTGCCACATCCCAAGTTTGTTAACACAACCCTTCTTCCCATCTCCGACCAACTCGTCCATCCCTGATCATCAGATCTTGTTGAAGCCTGGTGTCTAGTGAGATAAGTTGACTCCCTTAACCGAGTTCTATTAGCTATATAATGAAATTTACATTTTAGATATTGCAAATCCTAGTATTTTAAATCTACATATGTAAATTCCTCAATAAAATATTGAAAACATATTATGTACTTTTTCAAGTTAGAATTGCTAAGTTTTCTTGATCCAATAAGTTGATGTTTTTAGCACTTTGCCATTGTCGGGTCTCGAGCCCTGGATGTGAAAAGTGGAGGGTTGTGTTAGGTAGTTTACAACCAACGTAAAATTTTTCGAAAAATCATAGCATGAATCCTTTTGATCATTATGTAAATAGGACGCAATAGAGAAAAATGATTCATGTAGCCGACCCCAGTTAGTGGGATAAAAACTTGTTTTTGTTGTTGTTGTTGTTGCAATAAGCTGATGTTTTTTTTTAACCTCTTAAAACAGATGGGCTTTGGCCAGATTATAATGACGGGAACTATCCATCATGCTGTAGAAATTCTGATTTTAATATTAAGAAGGTGATGTTCTGTGTGTGTGTTTTCACGCAGAATGAATATTTCTTCATTTCATGTATCATTTATATTTGTGTGCCTAACTATTTTATATATCCCTTGCTATGTTTTTTTGTTGTTGTCAGATCTCATCCCTTATGCCAGAGCTTCAGAAACACTGGCCATCCTTAGGTTGCGGTTCTCCATCCCTTTGCCATGGTGGCAAAGGGTTGTTTTGGGCCCATGAGGTATTGATAAAATTTAATGTCTGGTTAAATTAATTTTCTCTGTTACCCATCTTGAGCCTGACAAACTTCTTTTTTCTTGGCGGTCACCTGGTGTTTATATGCTGGATGAGCAGTGGGGTAAACTTTCTTAACTTAATTAACTTGATATGCTTATCGTATTTTTAAGTGATTACAAAAGCCAAATATTCCAATATCTGATTAGTAACTGGTTTAGAGCTCAATCTCCTGATGGAATTATGAACCACTGGGGATTTCCACTGTGAAATTGCTTGTGAAATTCAAAAGCCGATTGGAGTACAGTTTGCCAGTCATAAGCAAAACTGACGGTCCTTGTATTGTTGTTTATTAAATGAAAGTGTTTTTAACAGTGCGTTTTGGCTTATGGTACGGTAAATGAGCATAATTAACAATTTGTTAAGTGTTTTGTAGAAGATCGACAGGGAGTAAAAGAACAAGTACAGAGGCTAACTATGGTCCATTAAGGCATTAACAAAGCATTGTGTCACGTATATACTGTTATAAGCAACATTAGAACATTCTTGTAAATACTGTGTTATTTTTTAGATTTATTCTTCTATTTCTCTTTCTTTTGCAGAAAAGCATGGGACATGTTCATTTCCTGTTATATTAGATGAATACAACTACTTCAATGCAGCCCTTGATCTTTATTTCAAGTATAACATTACGGTTAGTATTTCTTTGATTAAATCATGTATTGCTGTTATCTATGTGCCCAAATGAATATGCAAGGAATTTAGCTTCGTTGGGTTTTATTGTAAATTTTATTTTTCTTGTTTATCTCCATGCTTTTCATTATCAGTAGTCAAATTCTTTAAATAACCTACCGAGTTCTCATATATATCGAAAAGTGTGAGAACTCTAATAACAATAACAACCAAACAAACTGCAGAATACCAAATAAAGCAGACAAGATAATAACATCCCAACACAACATTAAGCACCTGTGCGAGACTTTTTTTTATAATGTTTAGATAATGTATTTTACACATATTTAAATTTTATTTTTAATAATAAAGTAGGTTTTTTTTTTTAAAAATCAATTAATTATTTATAAAACAATTGATTTATTTTTAACATGTATTCCGTTTCAAATTAAAATATTAACAAAAAAAAATAGAAATACAAATTGAATACAAAATATAAAACTGATCACAAATGAATCTTTAACAAAGAAAGTTGTGGAAATATGCTAATGAAATAATGGTAATAGCTTTGTTGCATGGATGCGGACACGACATAAAACGAAATGACAGATATTGGATACTTCTTTTACTGGAAATAAATGACATGTATATGCGCTAGACACATCCTTATAATAAAATTATTAAGTAATTTATAAAAATTTAGAAAATAAAATATGACAAACAATATAAAAGTGAAAGTAAGAAATTTAATAAAATTAATTTTTCAAATTTAAGCTTTTCCATAACTTATTGTTTATTTTTTGATATACAAAAAATAAGAACTGCGACTGATGAACGATGAACAGGTATGTGATTGGCGAACTACATGAGCTCCCTGAGAAACCGTCTAAATATATTTAACCTTTAAATAAGTATAGTTTATTTTTTTAATTATAAATTATATATTATATATGTTTAAAAAATATTTTTAAAAATTTTAGCTCATTAATTTTAGACATGCTTGTTTGACACGTGTCCAGAGCATGTCTATGTTTGATACGTATCTGACACTGCACTACTCTTTCATCTAGAGTGCCTGCATTATATAGTAATAGTGATGAACTTGCATCATTTGAACTTGTAGTAAGTTGGCTACGAACCTAAATTTTTGTTAAAATGTGTTGGCATTATCGTATGATTATACATGACGCAATATAAGTTAATTTTTTTTAATTATGCTTATACTTTAATGTATTTTAAAATTTATATGTTTTTAGCAATTTTAAATTATAAGCAAATGTTAATTTAAAATTGCAATATTTTCACAATTAAATTTGCATGATGAAACAAAAAGTATATTTGATATTTTGTATGCTAAATTATGAGCATGTAACCTATAATTTATAATATCACATATTGCTTTTATTTAGAAAATCAAATAATATTATAGTTTTTATTTTATATATTTTGTTTTATTTAAATGCTAAACGAATAAATGCATTTTCATCTTTCTTTTATTGATTTATTCAAAAATCATTTAAAACGATCATTTAAACTAGGGTAGTTCAATTTATATGCCCATAATGGCAAAAGATGGAAAAATATGCTGAAAAGTTTGATTCATTCCAACTCCGCTCTAATAAAGGATAACTTTTTATATTCCTGGATTGCTTTTTGAAGTTGAAGTATATGGATGAGCCTGAAGATATTCGATTATTGTTAGATTGTGGTTTCACGATGATAATTGTGTGTAGAAGATAGTTAGTTTGAAGATTGGTGGATCACAGTTTGAAGATGGTTTGTTGATGATTCAATCATGATCTTAAGATGATTATGTTATGATTTGACGATGGTGCGGTCTGTCACATCCTCAAATTTGAAGACAATACACGTTAACAATCTAGGATGTAGTGAAATGAGATAAACCTTATTTTATACTTATAAAAGGAAAGATTACATGGAAGCAATATAAATACTAAGAGCAAGCAAACAAATGTAATTTTTATTTCATTTTATAAATAGAAGTCAATTATTGATAAAATTGAAGAAATGGAATCAAAATAATTAAGTAAATCAAAATAATAAATAAATAAGCACTGCATAAACCTAAATATTTTGGTAAAACTAGAATAAAACTGATTCTTGAACATTGAAGCGCCTTTGGGTGCAATGGTTGAAATTTTATCAGAAACTCCAAAGTTAAGCGTGCTAATATGGGACAAAATGGGAGCACCTTTGGGATGGGTGACCTCCTGGGAAGATACATCATTGGGACAAAATTTTGAGGCCATTAGGCCAAGACGAATAATATCTTGATGGATAAGGGTTCACACTGTAACAAAAGTTCTACTTGTAGCTTTTAAATATATCGTGTAAGTGGTGTTAGATTTATTAGCTATCATATAAGGGATCCTCTTTGTTGTCTTATCCGTATATGTATCATTAACATATTAGCTTAAGAACATTTTGCCTTTATATGGGCTCATCTTTACTGACGTACCTGCAGGTTATCATAAATATACGAAACTGTGGGCCCTTTTACCTCCATGTGGGCTCACATTTGTCACTCTGTTTGTTCATATTATCATAAATATATCAATTATGAGCATAATTTTGTCGCTATACCTGCATAAATTACAATCGTTATATTATTGTCAACCTATCCATGTGCAAGAACTTCCCAAAGTATTCATTTTCATTATTAACATTTAAATGTTTATAATCTTTGTCTTTCTCATGCAATTATTTATATGCTTCTAATTTTTGCTTTTATTTTGCATTGTAGGAAAATGATGTGTAATTTTGAAATGAAACAATTCTAATACTTACACATTTGAATACATACAAAGTTGAATACATATAACTGAACCAATTTTGCTTCCTGAATTAGAAATTGAGTATCTTACATAATTGACAATTGAAAACTTGAAAAACTTCCTTGTTCCGATTACCTTTTTGTTGTATTCAATCTAAAGAAATAGCAATATCTCAATTTATATTATTTTTTAACTTATAAATTAATTTTAAATCAAATTAATCCGACAGCACACTTTTACTTCAAAATTGTTCCTCCTCACGCAGGACTCACAGCCCATACCCATCTGAGCTGAGATTATTAAGTTAGAGGACAAAAGTAAAAATCGAATTTTCAACACACCCGTGGGTTTACCTTTTTTCATTACTCTTTTCTTCCTTTACTATGCTTTCCTTTTTCTTCAGTCTCTCTTCGTTCCAGCTCCCTGCAGCTTATGGTATAGGGAGTGACCGGAATGCAAATTAGGGTGGAGTTGAAGGCAATTATTTATATGCATCTAATTTTTGCTTTTATCTTGCATTGTATGAAAATGATGTGTAATTTTGAAATGAAACAATTCTAATACTTACACATTTGAATACATACAAAGTTGAATACATATAACTGAATAAATTTTACTTCCTGAATTAGAAAATGAGTATCTTACATAATTGACAATTGAAAACTTGAAAAACTTCCTTGTTCCGATTACCTTTTTGTTGTATTCAATCTAAAAAAATAGCAATATTTCAATTTATATTATTTTTTAATTTATAAATTAATTCTAAATCAAATTAATCCGACGGCACACTTTTACTTCAAAATTGTTCCTCCTCATGCAAGACTCACAACCCATACCCATCTGAGCTGAAATTGTTAAGTTAGAGGACAAAAGTAAAAATCGGATTTTCAACACATCCGTGGGCTTACCTTTTTTCATTACTCTATTCTTCCTTTACTCTTCTTTTCTTTTCCTTCAGTCTGCTCTTCGTTCCAGCTCCCTGCAGCTTATGGTATACGGAGTGACCGGAATGCAATTTAGGGTGGTGTTGAAGGCTGCAATTTAGGGTGGTGTATCTATCTATCTATCTATCTATATATATATATATAGAAAGAGAGAGAGAGAGAGAGAGAGAGAGTGAGAGAGAGAGAGAGAGCATCGGAGGCTCCCTACGTGTTAAAATTAAGAAACAGGTATAAAAGTTGGAGGGGAGGAGGATCTCCGTCTAAAACAGCCAAAAAATACTTTAACACACCCCTAGGGGTTCCCTCTCCCACATTACAACTCACGCAAAATGAAAACTCCAAATGTACAAGTATACCCAAGCCAAAATAGCAAAACTCAAAATTAGTATACTTGTGCCCGTGTAGTAGAAATAACAGAAAAAGAAAGAAAAGAGAATCCAAGAAAAAAAAAGAGGCAGCAAAAAACTCCTAATCCACTGGAAACACTCCAGCAAACAACAGTGCAAACTGGGATGTCGATCGACTAAGCAGAGCAGCCAAACAACATAAGATCAGCGTAAACCAAGAGATCAGGAGAGCCAGAGACACAAAGCTAGAAAGGGGTGCAATCCGAAACCTGCCAGCAAACTAAAGAAACCACAAGAGGGAGGATACAAAACCAAAACACAGTAAAGATACGAGAATACCCAGCCATAAAGCCGAGCAACAAGTAGTTTCTAAAATCTAACATAAGACAAATCCAGGTTATCCCCAGTAAGGAGACGTTTGAGGGGAGCAGAGGGAGATAAATCTATAGAGCATGCAGCCCCTGCTTGCCTGGCTAACCAATCGGCAGGGGAGTTGCCCTCTCTATGGATGAAACTCCAACTCACTTTCATATGTCTTTCAAAAATTAAAGCATAAATACGTTTAAAAATGCATATAATATTTCAGAGAGGAGGAGAGATACCCAACAATATATCATAGAGCATTTCTGAATCAGTTTCCACCTCAATCGTATGAAAATTGAAAGCAATTACCACCGTTAATGTAAGAAAAACCCCCCAGCATTCCGTGGCTAAGGTGTTGTCAGTAGTAACAGGAGAAGTAAAATAGCACATAAACTTACCCTCATAATTTCTAAAAATGCCCCCAACCGCAGCAGGTAAATGGTTTCAACTGTCATCCATATTCACCTTAACCCATCCGGAAGAAGGGGGAGCCCGCCTGATTAAACGGGGGGGCCTGAAGATCGAAACATCAGTGGTACAGATCCTGAGGGTCTTGGTGTAATAGGCCAACAC